CCCAGAGTTCAAGTCCCATGACCAACAAAACAGGAAAAAGAAAAGTGAGGTAAAAGGGTAGGTTGAAGTGGGATGAGAAGGTTAAAGGGGGTAACACCAATCAAGATGTATTGTATTCATAAACTGCCTTGTTAAATGGCATCTCCCCTGTACTACTTAAAAGATAATTTTAAAAAAATTAATGTCTCAGGAACAACAAAAACCTGCTCACATTTTGACTTTCCCAGTGAGGGCAATGTTGAAATGTAAGCACTCTTCACTGTCACTATCCATTGACAAACGGTAGGACATCTTGACACTACTGTTGAAAGAAGGATGGAATCATAGAATACAGCACAGTCCTTTTTTAAGGAAAGTCGCTTGGTCATTCTCCACACGAGACTTGACTGCTAAATCGACTCCCATGTCTTAGCCACTTTCCTTCCATCTGTGTGGTAGGACCTGCAGCAGAACACGAAGTCAACTGCATGATTTCTGACACAGTTTGTTCTGTGACATAGAACTTACTACTTTTTTTTTTTCATCGACCTGCAAAATAAAGCTAAAGAAACATTTGGACACCTCTATGCTTCCTGATTCCATTGGCTGCCATGAGCACCTAGGAGCAAGCAGTACAGTGCCAACCTCCTCCCTCCACAGGACATTTGAGCTGCACTACAGGTGTCAAAGGTGCTATGCAGCATTTCCATGACAAGAAAAATGCATCCACAAGAAGGAAGGTGGTGATGATGTGCAAGCTCTCTCCAGGGACACAGGGACACACACACACACACACACACACACAACATGACAGAGGTGAGGGGCAGGAAATGCCCAGAGCCAGCCCCAGGGACTGCCTGGCTCAGTCCCTTATGAGTGTTGACCATCTTCTCACTGAGTCACAAAGAGCCACTCCATCCTTCAAGTGGACATGTGGCGCCCTGGTGAATGGTCATTATACTAGATTCCACCGTTGATCCAAACCATTGACAACCTGGTGGACTCTGGCTGATGAAATGTTAGCAAAAGTGTCAGGTGTCACTTCCATACAGAAGTTTTAGGGCCATCTTGTGACTCAACAAATTTTCACCAAGTCTGATAGACGAGGCCCCTCCTCTGTCTGAGGTCTAGATTAACTTCCACAGCCACCCCCCACCCCAAGAGGCATTGACACAAAGAGTGAAGGCCATTGAGCCTTTGGGTATGCTTGTTACTGAGCCTAACATGCACATGATGACCTGCACAGTGAAGGTGCTAGGACATAGGGCCCAGCCCCTATTGAACATCTAGCCAATAGAGAAGACAAGCAAATCTCTTACATGTGGTTCTGGATTTTCAGATTGTTCCTAGTCTCTGAGGAGATGCACCCACCTCCCAGGGCCCAATTTGAAGAAGAAAGGGCTATTCTATGGAATTAGGAAGTCTGGGATCTAATTCCAACTCTCACCCTTCACTTTTGCCCTCAGTCATTCCTCCCATGGCACCAACTGTGGTGGGCACTAAGGAAAACAGATAAGGTCCTTAGCCTCCTGTGCCTACTACATTCAGGCGAGAGAAAATACAGACGCCAATGGAACAAGCAATTTTAAGGAAGTGAAAAGGTTTGATTGAGAGGAACTGAGAAAAGCTGCTTGAGGAGAGGATATTCCAAGTGAAGAAAGCAAATATATCAACCATGCGAATAGCTTGAGGGAGATAGCAAAGGGGGAGCAGAGCTATCACAAGGGCAAGGGGTCTGTGACAAGAACTGATGACTTATCTGAGGAGCAGAAAGAAGGCTCCGGGGCAAGGTGGGCAGAAAAGGAATGCTAGGATGAAGTTGGGGTGGGGTGTAGGCCTTGTTACCTAGCGGGGCTGCAGGATGGCGTTTACAGTCCACTGCATGTATAAAAGAATGCAGAGCACTGGGTGCCAGGAGACTGAAAATGGAGGATCACAGCTCAAAGCCCACCAGGGAAGGAAAATCTGTGAGACCCTTATCTCCAATTGACTGCCAGAAAGCCAGATGTGAAGGTGTTTCTCATGTGGTAGAGTGTTAGCCTTTAACAACAACAAAAAAAGCTCAGAGACAGAGCCCAGTCCTTGAGTTCAAGCCTCAGGACCATAGTTGCACATAAACAAAAGGAAAACAGAGGAAGCAGGGAAGAGACAGGATCTGGTTAAGGTGAAAATCGTCTTAGGATGCTGTGGAGAATACACCATTTCAGAGCCAGAATAGTAGGGAGACAAGAAGGCAGCCCTCTGCTTCCTGGTGGCTGACCCTTTTTTTTTTTTTGGTCAGTCGTGGGGCTTGAACACTGGGTCTGGGCGCTGTCTCTCAGCTCTTCAGCTCAAGGTGAGCGCTCTACCACTTGAGCCACAGCACCACTTCTGGTTTTCTGTTGGTTTATTAGAGGTAAGAATCTCACAGAGTTTCCTGCCCAGGCTGGCTTTGAACCGCAATCCTCACATCTCAGCCTCCTAAGTAGCTAGGATTACAGGCATGCGCCACCGATGCCCAGCTTGGTGGCTCACCTTTGTGGGCTTTGACAGTTGTGGGAACCCTAGAGCCCCATGAGAGCTATGTGTGGGTGTAGCTGTGTGAAGGATGATTGGATGGTGTGTGTAGAGAAAGCCTGAAGCCAGCGGATGACTGCTGCTGCATGTTAGCTCTGTTGCATGCTTCAGAGAAAAACAACCGAGACACAGGATTCGGAATGCTCACCATTACACAATGATCCCATCCAGAGACAGGATGAGTGCTTCCTCTTTTGTGTGCCCTAAATGTCTACTGCCTCCAGACCTCCAGTTATCTACCTCCTGGAAGGTGCCCTTTGTTCTGTAAACCCAAACTACACCAGGCTAATGTGTACTGTATTCTCTTACCAGTTAAAAACTGAGGACAAGCCTGGGCACTGGTGGCTCATGCCTATAATCCTAGCTACTCAGGAGGCTGAGATCTGAGGATCTCAGTTCAAAGCCAGCCCAGGCAGGGAAGTCTGTGAGACTCTTATCTCAAATAAACTACTCAGAAAAAGCTGGAAGTGGAGCTGTGGCTCAAGTGGTAGAGCGCTAGCCTTAAGCACAGAGTTCCAGGACAGCACCCAGGCCCTGAGTTCAAGCCCCAAGACTGGCAAAGAAAAAAAAAAAAAAAGAGGACTGGCCCTCTTGGTGGCTCATGCCTGTAATCCTAGCAACTCAGGAGGCTAAAATCTGAGGATCAACATTTGACGCCAGCCCAGCCAGGAAAGTCTGTGAGATTCTTATCTCCAACGAACCACCAGAAAACCAGAAGTAGTGCTGTGGCTCAAAGTGGTAGAGCACTAGCCTTGAGCAAAAAAAGTTCAGTGCCCAGGCCCTGAGTTTAGCCCCTATGACCAACCAACCAAAAAAAAAAAAAGAACTGAGTAATCTCAGGTGCTCACTGAATCTGTCCCCTGGGCTCTCTCCTGCTTTTCTTGACCATATATGTCTTGCATATATTTTCTTGCATATATGTCTAGACTAATCCTTTTCAATCTCACTGCATCCATTGGACAAAATTTGTCACCTGGACCAACAGTGCCACTACCTTTGTGCCCTCTGGCAGTGCTACCTATGCCTAAATTGCCCCATTTGTGAGCTTGTTGCCTGTACATCACAGCTCATGTGCTCTTCGGGCTCCTACAGGTGAGGGTGAAGTACAAGTGACCTTGCCCTGTCTTTTATGCCTCCTTCTGTGCACCATTAAGGCCTTCACTGAAACCACAGCCATGCCCAGAGCTTACCTACTACATCTTCCCTCTGCCAACCATCTACTAACCAAGATACCAGTTCTCTGGGGCCAGCAATGGTTCTGGGATTGTCTTTCCATCTAGATAGAAGGGGGAAAATATGCAGAGGCTAGCCAGGAAATAGCAAAGCAGTTCTTGTCACCAGGACAAATGCAGGAGAAATACAGGCAAAGGTAGAAACTAGCCAAGCTTCCAAGAGACTGGTAGGTGGGACAGAGAGACAAGTAAAGTCAGATGGATGATCATTGTGGCAGATCAGATCGTTCTAGGAGTTTCCAGGCAAAGCTGAGCTCAGTGCTGGTTAGGGAGTAAAGACTCAGGAACAAAGCCAAGATAAAGCTTCTTCTAAAAAGCTGGCAAGTTGAGAGAGCACAAGGAACAGACAGGAGCCATCCTGGATCCGCCAGTCCTCACCGACCTGCCAGCTGCCCAGAGACCCAGGAGCAAGCTTCGTCAAAACCATCTGCCTCACTAGAAGAACTGCCCTGTTGACTCTGAAATTCATGAATAAATAATAAATGCTTCTTTGTTTTTAAGCTATTGACTTTCAGGGTGATTTGTCAACCAGTAAGAGCTAGGGGATGCAGACAGGGGACTGGTGGCTGGCAAGCCATTCCGATTTTTCTACAGCAGTTTCTGCTGAAGTCACAGCACTGTGTCTCTGCTTAAAGCCATTGGTGTGTTCAGATCTGGACTGGGGCCATGACCTTGAGATATATTCTTGAACTTGATTTTACAAGTCACTTGGTAACTTATGAACACTTCCTCTCCTTGTGGAGCCTCAGTTTCTACATCTTCAAAAAGGAACGAGATGACAAACAATGAGCCACCTAGCTCTAAGACTCTGTTTGGATGACTGTGGCCTATTTATTCAGCTGTCACTCCTCAACAAGATTTTTTTCAGAATTTGAATGTGTGGAGCTATGGCTAGACCCCAGGCTACAAACTCAGATAGCAATAGGTGAGCCCTTCTGGCCAGCAGCTCAGAGTCCACTGAGAGCTGCCTGTCCCTTGAGCAGAAGGACTCCTCAGTGGAGCCTGGATGGCCATGGGGGCCATAAGATGGAAATGAGCAGGACTGGTGTTCACCTCTCCATCAAGCAGATAGGGTGCATGTCTTACATCCCGGGGGCCTCCAGCAAGAAGCTATTGGGAGCAGAACTGAGGCAGTGCAGACAGAGCCTAAATTCTCCATTCCTCCTCCTCCCCCTCAGAGGGAAGCAGAGGAGTAGACACCACCTGTTACCAGGCCCAAAAGAGTGGTCCTACCATGGAACCAGGGGGCGATGGATTTGGTGTTCCTCTCGAAGCCAGCCTGTCGAGGCAGCTGCTCCTCCTTAAACCAACGGACGATGACTTCTCTGGAGAGTGGGCGCAGTGGGCGCTCCCACGTCCTGCTGAGGCCAGGGACAAGGACAGGAGGGAGAAAGAGGCAGAGAAAGAGAGGGATGGGAAAGGGTGAGAGAGAAGTGGAAGGAAGAGGGAGAAAGAAAACAGAAGGGAGAAAGAAAGCAGAAGGGAGAAGGAAAGCAGAAGGGAGAAAGAAAGAAGGAGTAAGAGAGGGAAGGGAAGGGGTAAGGGAGAAGAAGAGGGAGGGAGATGAATAGAGAGAGGGAGGGAGAAAAAAAAGAGAAGGTCACTGAGTATATGCATGACACCCATGCTTGTGCCTATAAAGAAAACCCCAAATGCCCTGGTACTTGAAAAAGTCCCATTTGCACCTTATAATGCAAAAGCTATTATTTTCCCCCCAAAAAATCAAAGTGTTATCCCATGTTTCAGAGAACCACACAGGAGGGAGTGACACAAGGACATGAAGATGTAAAAGAGAAAGAATGATGCTTTCCAGGGTAGGGATGCATGCGTTCTCGGGGGACTACCTCTCTCCCCTCCCCCTGCTCCACCAACAACAGCTGAAGAGTTTTGATTTGTGGCCTTCTCGAGGGATCCTGTTGGCAACTAGAGCCCACACTTTTTGAAGGCAAACACAGAAGAGCAAATAGAGAGAGAAACCAGACAACTTGCTCTGGAAAAATGGCTGAAAGAGGAAAGCAAATAAGAACGAAACAAAACCAGCCATTGTCTGGCCATGGACAGGGTATCGGTGAGGGGGTTGGGGGAGGGTGAGCCTGGGAAGAATCTAAGGACAGTGGACCGGACACTTGAGATGCTTTCTCACAGGTGAGCTATGATTTCGTTGCATCTATGTCAGGACTACAGTTTGTTGTTGTTTTCATGTTTGTTTGTTTGCAGAACTAGGGGTTGACCTCAGGGTCTCCTGCTTGCAATGCAAGTACTCAGTTACCAAGGACTCGAGCCAAGTCCTAGACCATTTCTGACTTTAGTTATGTGTCAGGTAGAGTCTCACGCTCCCCCACCACCACCTCCAGGCTGGCCTCTGACCCCTGTCTTCCTATCTATGCCTCCCACTAGCTGGTATGACAAGTATGCACCACCACATCCAGCTAGAATTGCAGTTCCTAAGTGCACACAGGGACTGGACCATTTTAGACCCTGGTCACATTTGAGTTAGTCTACAATGGAGCCAGGAAGGGCTAGACAGCACATGACACACAACAGGCTCCAATAATGTGTGGAGTCAGTGTAGCAGGACCACACCGCATAAAACATGGTGAAAATACTTCTGATAAAACAAGGCTTTAGCCCACCTGGAACAACCCTGGCCTCTCTGTTTTCCAGCTGAGCCTGGTACATTCCTGTTTTGTCATTGCTACCCACCTAACAGCATTGGCATTCACAAGTCACTACTGTGTCTTTAAGCATAACATAGACTCTAACTCCCCATCTGGTATTCTGGATATCGGCCCTGAACCAACATACTGGCATGGAACTCAGCCTCACAACGGATCCACTTATACTCACCTGCGTGCACACACACACAAGAACAATAGTGAACACGGAAGATGACAGAAAAGATGCTGTAAGAAAAGTAGAGGGCCAGGCTACACTGCACCACTTAAAGCCACTGTGCCAGCCTGATTCTCACAACACCCAAGGCAGACTACTTATAAAAAGGTTTAATTTTTACAGTTTCAGAGGCTGAAAGCCTAAAAGCAGGCAGCCCTATGGCTTCTGCCTCTGATGAAATCTAAGGACCAGTAATACCAGGGCAAGAGCAAGTTCACCAGCAACAGATCACCTTGCAAAGAGTGGCAAAGAGTGGTCAGGATAGGGAAGTTATAAAAACTCACTGCACTGAGAACTAGCTCAGAACTGTCCATATAGATTACCTTGAGTCCCTTCCCCTGTCAGGCCTCCCCCTGCCATCCCCCTCAGAGACCTAAGGATCCTACTTGGTGCCACCTAACATCGTCACACTGGGAGCCAAGACCCCACTGCATGAATCTTGAGGGAGGGACAGACTCAAACCACATCCAGACATAGCAGCCGTCATCCTCAAGTGTGTTCTTCAAACCCAGCACCTTTTAGTCCCCTCTCTAGGCTTTGCTCCAGTCCCTACAACCTTCCAGCTGACCTTGCTGTCCATCTTCCTGAGGATACACACACACACACACACACACACACATCCTCCTTTCAGTCTCTGTAATTTCTGTCTCTCTGTCTCTCTCTGTGTCTCTCTGTAGCTATCTGTCTGTGTCTCTCTGTCTCTGTCTCTCTCTTTGTCTCTCTTTGTGTCTGTCTGTGTATCTCTCTCTGTCTGTCTCTGTGTCTCTCTCTTTGTCTCTGTGTCTCTCTGTGTATCTCTGTTTCTCTCTGTCGCTGTATCTTTCTGTGTATCTCTGTCTGTCTCTGTCTCTCTCTGTCTGTCTCTCGGTGTCTGTCTTTCTCTGTCTCTGTCTCTGTCTGTCTGTCTGTCTGTCTCTGTCTGTCCCTCTGACCCTCTGTCTCTCTCTGTCTCTCTCTGTCTCTCTGTCTCTGTCTGTCTCTGTCTGTCTCTGTCTGTCTCTCTCTCTCTTTCCCTCCCTCCCTCCCCCCCTCTCTCTTGTACTAGGGCTTCACTCAAGCTTGTCACTCTGCCACCTGAGACACACCTCTACTCCCAGCCTGTTGCTAGTTAATTGGAGATAAGTGTCTTGGGAACTTCTCTGTTTGGTCTGGTTTCCAACCATGATCCTCATTACTCAGCCTCCTGAGTAGCTAGGATTATCTACCTGGCCTTTCTCTCTACCAAGCAGACCTAGACACCCTACCCCACTCAGCCTCTTCTACTATATCCCCCCTAAACAGCTGCTCAGAGAAAAGATCCTCTTAGTTTCTAGGGCTCTGCTCCTTAGAAGGCAATGGGGGCTATAAATAACAGTGAGGACTGTCTGCTCCCTCTTGTCTCTCTGTTTCTAAGCAGTGAATCTGGATTTGTTTCTAGGCAGGGAACTTGATTCCCCAGAATATAAATGCTAGTGATGAGACAGGTGTCCCAAGAGCCTCCTAGCCAGCAGCCAGCCACACTCCCACACCTGGGGTTCTCCTGCCTTGGGCAGTATGCATCTACCCCTCCACATGGACAAAAGTGTGCCCACCCCTCCACATGGACAAACGTGAGAATCGCCTGCACCAAAGAACTCAGGGCAGTAAGCCCTGCTGTGTGCAGGGGCTGCCTCTCCCCTACTGATTGCACACAGCCCACCCGGAGCCTGGAACACCATGAACCATGCAGCGTCATTGCAGACGCCCAAGGGACAGATAATAGGCTTCTTGTTCAAAGCACACAAGCAGGAAAGATTTTTCAATTTTGCTCCCCAAACTCAGAAAACATAAAAACATTCACTTTATAAAAATCGAGAATTTCCTCATAGCCATGCAATCTACCACCTGAGTGTAAGATAAATGGCAAGCTGAGGGAAAAAAAATGTTTCTCAGAAATTTAAAAAAAAAAAAATCTAAGTTTGGACACCAGTGGTTCACGCTTGTAATCCTAGTTCCTCAGAAGGTTGAGATCTGAGGATCACAGTTTGAAGCCAGCCTGGGCAGAAAAATCTGTGAGACTCATCTCCAATTAATCACCAAAAAGCTACAAGTGGAGCTCAAGTAGGTCAAGTGACAGCATTGAGCCTTTTGTGATGAAGAGAGAGCACAAGGTTCTGAGTTCAAGCCCCAGTACCAGCATGTGTGTAGGCACCACACACACACACACACACACACACACACACACACACACACACAGTCTTTCTGCCTAATATTTAAGGAGTATCTAGAAATCAATTTTTAGAAAATCTGGTATGAGAATCAACACACAGATAAATACAAAGGCAGCAGGTGCCAGTAACACACCTGTAATCTTAACCACACAGGAGGCTAAGGTCTGAGGACCCCAGTTTGAAACCAGCCCAGCCAGTAAAGTCTATGAGGCTCTTACCTCAAAATAGCCAGAAGGAAAAAAAAAAAAAAGCTGAAAGTACAGCTGTGCTTCAAGTGGTAAAGCACCAGCCTTGAGCAGAAAAGTTCAAAGACAGCACCCAGGTCCTGAGTTCAAGCCCCAAAACTGGCACCAAAAAAGAAAAAAATATAAACATATACAAAATGCTTGATTCCTCTCACGAAGAAATGCGAGTTGGAATCTGCTCTGAGATGTTATTCTCACAGAAAACTTGGACCACACCCTGCTGGCCAGGCTAGCAAGGAGCATAAATACACACCAACCCTGCAGAGGGTCAAATACAGAATCCCTGACCCAAAGCTCCCACTTCAGAAATTCCTCTTGTAGATAATGATTGCAATTATATGAAATTAATTTCTAGGGGATGACGATTCAAAGGACTGTTAGTGATGAAGGTTTGAAATAACACCAATGCCCACAATAGTTTTTCGTAAATATCTATTTATAAGTAAGAATTGATTTGTAAATAAGCATTTATTAAAATAATATGTACAATATTTAAAGTATTTATATCTATGTATTATATTGATACTATATAAAATATACTATGTGATATATAAATATAAGAATATAAAAATATGTTCATAACATTTTTGTATTTATTAAAATATTTCTAAAATATAAATGTATTAAAATTATAAATTAGTTTAATGATAATAAATGCAAGAATAATAAATGTATAAATAATGAATATTTATCAAAAACCCTACTTGTGGGCACTGATCGCGTTCATGGACATTCCTGCCCGGAGCTGGCTTCCAGCTGGGACCCTCGGCTCTCAGTCTACTGATTGGCTCAGCAAGGCTGAGCAACTGCCAACTTGTAAGCCTGCGGGAGTGAGCCCCTGCCTGCGCCCCGCAGGACACTGCGGCCCGGGAGGGGAAAGCCCCGAGCCCCCCGGGGGACCCCCAGGCCTCCTCCCCCCCCCCCGCGGACCCACCTGGCCGGCGCGGCGCGGGGCGATGGGGGGCCCGGGCCGGGGAGGTGATGGTAGAGTCGGGCCTCCCGCGCGGGGTTCTGGCCGAGCCCCTGGAACATGGAGCTGAGGCCGGCGACCGTGCCCTCCTGGATGGCCCGCAGGGAGTGGCGCCGGGACTCGTCGCGCGCGCGCTGCGCCCCGCGGCTCCGCTCCTCGTCGGCCGCCTTGGATCTGCGTACTGCAAGGAAGAAGGGGAGCGTTGGGCCTCCGTCCGCGACCCTCGGGGGGAGGGGGGCTGGGGGGGCACACCTGCAAGGACCCCTCGGGTCAGCGGCTCCCGGCTGCACGGAGCACCAAGCCCCAGCTCCAGTGACCCGCGCGCCCAGACCCAGGAGTGTGGTGGAGAAGTGGGGGGAAGAAGAGGGGGTCTTCGGACAATGAACACTCTACAGGTTCGAGACTCGAGAGGCCTTTTTCTCTGGCCTTGTGCATTTTGTATTCCTCAAGAATAGAACATGTCACCGCCGAATGGCCTTGAAAATACCGTGTGTGAGCTGGGGGCCTGTCATTCTGGCTACACGGAGGGGCTGAGATCTGAGGATTGAGAGTCAAAGCCAGCCCAGGCCGAAAAGTCTGTTAGACTCTTGTCTCTGATCAACCAGCAAAAAGCCGAAAATTGCAAGTGTGATTTAAATGGTGGAGCACCAGCCTGGACTGGAAAAAGCCAAACAGGAACTCAAGCCCTAATACCAGCGCTGCACGCACACACGTATCAGAGTTCATAATCTGTAAGGAGCCAGAGCAGGAGAATTTCCCTAGATCTATGTTGGAGGGTGGATGTGTTTTTCCCCACTCCAAACTCATGCTGAAACTTGCTTTAATATAGCAGAGTTGGGGGAGGGGCAGGGAGCATGATTGAGGTGTGAGACTGGATTTCATGGAATGAATTCATTCTTGGAGAGCCAGTGGTTAAAAGCAGGTTGGCTCCTCTGTGCTCACTACCTCTCCTCTTGCCCTCGGACTTCCAAGAACCCTGAGACAAAATGAACCTGTTTCCTTTTTCAATGAGCAGCCAAAGGTGTTCTGCACAACAACAGAAAAGGAACCAAGACAGTCGGCAGAGATCGAGAGGAGACTTTTCTCAAGAACAAAAAGAAGCAGAAGGCCATTCCAAGCAGGAAAGCTGGGCTCTGGGGACCCACTGACTTTCAGATACCAAGAAACCCACAAAATCTGCCAGACATTGTGTGAGAAACTCAGACTGGGTCAGCATGCCCCATACCAGGCTTTGCAGTGACTCCATTACAAGTTGCTCTAAAACCCCATGTCCTATCAGGGCCAGTAACCCTGAGGACTTTACCGTCCCCAGGGGACAGCAAGATGGTGACAGACAGATAGGGATTTATGCCCTTGACTCCTGCTCTGGCATTGGGCAAGTTTTCATCTCTCTGGGTCTTAGTTTTCCCAATCCTGAGAAGTAGAGACATTGCTACCCAAGGGCTGCTGGATAAAGTATCTAGAATCCCATTCTTATCTCTCCTGCTCAGCTCTTTCAATACTGAAGACACATAATAGTGAGCTTTCTCTCTCTGTCTCTGTCTCTCTGTCTCTCTGTCTCTCTCTCCCTCTGTGTCAGTTGTGGGCTTAAAGTCAGGGCCTGGGTACTGTCCCTGAGCATTTTTGCTCAAGGCTAGCACTCTACCACTTAAAGCCACCATGCCACTTCTGACTTCCTAGTGAGTCAAAGCCTGCTGGGGCTGGCTTTGAACTGCGATCCTCAGATCTCAGCCTCCTGAGTAGCTACAATTACAGGCCTGAGCCACCAGTGCCCAGTTATGGGTTTCCTTTTGACAGGATCCCTGTGAGCAGTCCACATCTCCACAGGTACAAGCAGGCTAGTTGTTGTAAGAGGGTGGATTTTTGCCATTTTCGTACATAGCGCACGCTCATTTAGAGCCTGGTTGTGCCGGCTCAGTGCTATGCAGGACAACTATTGAGACTGCACAAGCCACACACTGCACACCACCAGGGGGCGCAGTTACCACATGGTCATCATAGCTGTCTTCAGTTACTTGAGCCATTTTCTGATAAATGACAGAGGAATTGTGTTTCTGGTTTTCACAAGGCCACTGTGTTTGGATGCTGCTGGCTGCTAAAGACTTCTACATACTAGCTAACAAGTTCTGCTGTGCTTTGCCAGAGATAACAGGAAGCTACAAAAAGGAGTCACCTAGGAGCGCAGCACAGCATTGGCTCACGCCTGTAATCCTAGCTATTCAGGAGGCTGAGATCTGAAGATCAAGGTTCAAAGCTGCCCAGGAAGGCAGAAAAGTTTGTGAAACTCATCTCCAATTGTGAAACTCATCTCCAATTAACCAGCAAAAATCCAGAAGTAGGGGGTGTGGCTCAAACGGTAGCATGCCAGACTTGAGTGAAAAGAAGCTGAGAGTGTGAGGCCCTGAGTTCAAGCCCCAGTACCAGCACACACACACACACACACACACACACACAAAACACACACTTGATTGAGCTCCTGTGGTAGGAATAAACCTGATAAAAGAAAGAATGGAAACCTGGAAAATAGAAATCCAGAAGAATAATAGTAGGGAATCTGAGCTAAGACATAGTCAGGAAAAGGACTGAGGAGAGAATGGAGGGGCAAGTGGGTGATGAATTAGAGATTAAGAAGGTGGTGTCTACATGTGGGCTAGTGTACGGCTTGGTAGTGAGCAGGAGAGAGAGAGATCAGGATGGCAGCCAAGATTTTGTCCTTGACAGTAAAGAATGGTACCGGTGGAGGAAGAGGAGACCTGAGGCTTGGAACTGGGAAGGAAGAGCCACCTGTGGAGTTCGAGTAGCTCTGGAAGATCCTTTATTGCTGCCCCCAGGCCCCGGTGGCCCCTCTCTATGGAAAACTTGCCTGTGGTTCCTGGGACAGGCTACCTCCCCTCTCTTCTTCTCTCCAAGGGGTAGTGTCAGCATCTACCCTCATAGGTCAGGTGACCAGCACCATCCTGTAGAGCAACATCAGCAAGTGATGGGTACTGCCGTCCCTGAAAATCAGTGGGGAACCCTCCAACACAGAGAGATGTGGGCCATGTGAATGGCTGCATCTGTACTTCATCTCTTCATGTACAGAATGGTATGGGGGTGGGAGGCTCCTAGGGCTGCTTCGACATGCCAGGTCGTATATGAAAAGGGTCCTGTTGTAGAGGCTGTGAGATCAGGACACCGGTGTGTCTACTTACAAGGGAAATGGTTAGGGGAAGGAGGCTGAGGGAGGTTCAGGTGTTCCTCTCAGGGAATAGAAAAAATGAAAATCTGTGCACCATGAAGGCTTCCTGCACTGTTAGAAGAGGAAATAGGTACGTAGGTGTTGGGGGATTCCACCCCCCCACCTCTTTCTCTCTCTCTCTCTCTCTCTCTCACACACACACACACACACACACACACACACACACACTTTTGTGGGCCCGTGTCACCTGAAGAAAATGTGTGAGTTGGCACTAAAGCAAGTTTCACCAGCAGCTAACTTGGGCCAAGGAAAGAGGGGGGCTCTCAGCCCTACCCAGAGTTCCTGGGGATAATGGCCAACCATCCTTATCCAGCTGGTAATGGCTGCTCACAGTGCCCTCCTGTGACCATCAGGCATAACTGCAGGAGTCCCTGAGGACCAGCAAGCACTACAGGAGAGTTGGAATGACTCCACCTTGGTAAAACTAAGCCCGTAGGCATTCTAGGGCAACTCTAGGTGGCAGAACCCTGGACGAGGCACACATCGGATACAGAGAGGCTCAGGAGATCACTGGTCAGAACTGTAATGCCCAAAGTACATCAGCCAGAGTCTGGGGACACTTCAGACTACTTCCAGGAGGTCCAATGTGCACCCCAAGGTGAAGGGGTCTGTATGAGTCAGCCAGGATGTTCTCCTCCTGAGATGGATTTGGTGTCCTTTCAGTTCATACATTTTTTTTTACTTACAATGGAATTATGGGGATTTCACCTCTTTTAACTCAAGTAACAATGGTGTCCATAGAGAACCTGCACAATCAGTTCTCCTGCCCAGCAAATAGAAAATCCCTTCTTTTGTATTGTCCTTGAGCTCACCTTCCCAAACCAAGTTATACTTTGCTCCATCCCAGTTCCAGGCCAGAAACCATCCTCACCAGCTCAGCCAAACTTAGCCTCTGCCCAGCCTACTACATGTTAGATCTGACTTCGGACCAGGATCCAGGTATGCTCTTTAAGAAGGAAGGGGATGGAAGAAACATCACAGGACCCTGAGCTGAGCCTACACACACACATTTTTCCCTGAGCTCTGTCAGCATTCTCGGGGGCAAGGACAAGAGAATAGGATTCCTCTTGTTGGTTTGGAACTGCAACCCAAATAAACCAAAGATAAGGGTGAGCTGAGCTCCAAAGTCATTCACACCAATAGTCCTAGCCATTCAGCTGGCTAAAATCTGAGCAGCAGGGTTTCAAGCCAGCATGGCAGACAAATCTAGATAATTTTATTACCAATCAACCAGTACAAAGCCAGAAGTGGAGGTGATATTCAAGTGGTAGAGTACTATCCTTGAGAGAAAAAGCTAAGCAAGAGCAAGAGGCCCTCAGTTCAAGTTCTAGTGCCAGCAAACACACACACACACACACACACACACACACACAAAATGGACAGGAGTGGATCCAGGTCTTGCTATTTGCTCTAAAATCTCATTTACATTTCTAACCACACAATACTAATAAATAGCATTTCCTGGTTCATCACTAAATCTCTGGGCCACAAGACATTATTGAACTCTACAGTCCTACAAAGTTGAAAAATTATCAAATGAACTGGCCTATTAAATGACCTGAAAATATTCATAGAAGCTAGAGGCCTGGGATGCAAGCTAAGTACTAACTGTACTCAAGTGATACTAAAAGAGGTAACATCCTTTTATTTTTAACTTGGAGAACTTAATTTGGCTGTTTTATTAAAACCACACCCCCTCCCCAGAGTAATGGCTCCCTCGATCCTTCATATTAATCAAAATAGCTTTGTTAGGTTTGAATGACAAGCTTGGAGTTTAAGTCATCTTGAGACTGGGGCTTCACTATGTAGCCTGACCTTGACCTCTCAATTCTTGATTTGTAATCAGGCACTGGTGGCTCATTCATGCCTATAATCTTAGTTTCTCTGGAGGCTGAGATACGAGGATACTGATTTGAAGCCAGCCTGGATAGAAAGCCCAAGAG